TATATATATATAATCACCGGCTTGTGGACAGCATGGTTCGAACTCAAAATATTACAGCAGAATAGATTACCACGCGCATATCCACTCTCGGTGGGGTTTCATGACTTTAGACATTGTTTAAACTATGAAGCCGTAGTGAGGGTGAACGTCGCATATTCTGAAGCATCATGGCTCCAAGTTGGCTCTCTTACTTGATCGGGTTTAGTGAATTTTATCCTCACTGACACTAGCATTACATACACTTTACTGTAACCGATTTGTGACTCAGGCCAGAATATTTTTCTTCATTCGGCTGATTGGTCAATCCATCTGGCACAACTTACAGGCGTTGACTCCCAGGAATCCAAGGACGTTTCCCTAAGGTGTCCTACTCGGTGTCGATTGTTTACAAATAATGTGATACTTACAATGTCAAATGAATTCCTTTTTTATCAGGCTAAACCCGCTGCACAGACCTCCCCGGCAAATGGCAACATTCGATCTCCTCTGAAATCTTCGGGAACCACACCGACAAATCCTAACAAGTCGGTGCATGTAGTAAGCACAACTGCTTCTCCTCAGCTCTCGGTTTCTTATCAAGCCACAACGATCGCTCTGGATCCAGATCGCACGGCAGAGCACGAACTAGAACAGTTGATCCAGTGGTGCCAAACACGGCTGAGTTCATTTCCTATGCGCGAGAAAGTGGACATTCCTACAGTTGTTGAATTGCTGGCCACCCTGGATGCACCGTACGAGGTAAGTTTAGCGTCGAGAAACGCTCATCCAGTTTGTTGACACCTGATAGCCTCATATATAAATGGTTTTTCTAAGATGCCTGCTCACTGACATGTATTTTTGGATTAATGCACGAGTATTTACAATTAAGTGAACTGTTTGGTTAGTTTTCATGCGTTATCCCTCTCTCCAAAACGGACATGATTTTTTAACCGTTTGGAAGTCTTGTGAAAGCAGGGTTTTACTTCCTTGTTTAAATTTCACTGGGTAACGAATGCCTGGGATAATAAATGGAAACCCAGTTTAACTCCTTTAACTGATTTACTTACCAGCAGTCAACTTGTCGTTGGAAAATTCAGCTCAAAATCTCTTCTATGTCAATACTGAACGTTATGAAAAGCACAGCGAATGGGGCCCATTCACCTACTGTTTGGTTGTGATATTAGATTTGTAGTAGCTCACGGTCAACTCAGTAGCGAGTGCAGATTCTGTTGTAAACTAGACGTCGCTGTCGTTTCAGTTGCATTTTGTGTTATTAGTAACCGCGCATTGTCGTGCGACAGTTTTAGTTTGTCCTTCGTTTTTATCCACCAGCGAGAGAGGAGTTGAAACCAAGAAGACCTGATCAGTGTAAAAAGTGGGTAGATATATGATTACCACTGTTTTCAATATTGAGCTATATCACTGGCTTTCTTCAACCATTACTCGGATTTTTTGCGAGAAGCAAACTGTGAAAAATAGCTTCGGTCATACTTTGTATACTCATGTGTCGGGTCTTGTTCTGACCACCTATGGCCTTCCACTTCTTATCTTCCTGAGCATCGTTCATCGGGAAAGAATATATGGTAACCCACGTCGCTCATGTTTATTCCTCATAAGATACGGAGGTCGCACACTTGCTGGATCGCAATTAGGAAAAATTTTGCCTTGCCTTGGATGTATTCCGAGAGCAGCTGCACAAATCACTGCACGTATTCATGTAGGAATTAATTATTCTCCTATTCTTCTTTTATTTTCTCCAGTGTTTATCTAACTCTGTTTAAGTAATACAGCTACTTTTCTCTGCATCCGTGGTGTGAACATTATTATTGCAGTATGCGTTTTGCAGCTTGTTTTTGAACAGACATTCCTCCAATCATAAATAGGCCCACCCACTCATCTCTGCTCCTCTTCCATTCAAAATCTGTACTACCCAGGTTGAGCGTATGGTCCAAACATTCCTTGGTGAATCAGCCCGTACCAGTCAGTTTGTGAAGGATTTCCTCGATCATCGCCGGCCATTCTGGCAGTTGCATCGGGAACGGCGTGAGCGAGAGAGTCAGGTGAAATCGAGTTCCAAATCACAATCGGGAAGCAGTCATGTACAATCCAACGGACCGCGATCGGGAGATAAAAAGAAGCGGACGACGCATGCCCAAGATAACACTGGTCGAATTACCTCAACCTCCGGTTGTAACGGTGGTCTTGCCTGGCATATGGTGGGCAGTTCGAACCAGGGCAATCACACAGATCCAACACAGGATAACGAGGTCAGTTCCTGAGGCGGCCTCGCACGGAATTCACTTTCGCCTTGTAGATAGTTTATCAATTAGTTCCTGGTCAATTACATTTATAATTACCCACGCATCCTTTTCCGGGAGCGGGTTTTGAATTAAAACAACAGTACTCTACGTGGCCTTAAAAACAAGTGTAGTCCCAATGCATGAAATAAAGTTGTAAATTACTCATGGACTAGAATGGTTTGAAAGACAACAGCAATATATATACAGGTATTGACCAAACTCGTGCAACATCCTGATTTTTATTACATTTGTTCC